TATATATATATATTTAATACTTCAAACGTTAATACTTAAAACACTTTGACGAAATGCTAATCAGATTTTATTTTGAAATTTGGTTCAGTAAATGTGCTAGGAAAACCAGCATTTTGCGTCAATTAAAGAAAGCATTAATTGCCTTTTTTCACTTCTCCCGACCCTTACCGTACTCAATATATGTATTTGAAGGAAGACTGAATCGAAAAGTTTTTATCAATTACCGTTTTAACAAGAATTACTATTTAAGATCTCAAGACAATGCTCCAACAAGATGGATGCACATAATACGTTCAAACAACAAAATACAACATAAACGACGAAACAAATGAGAAGTGTCGTTTTGGATTCAGTTTCTGAACAAAAAAAAAACGTATCTATTGCGAAGTCAACAGTGAAATTATTCATCTAATTCAGTTATTGCTCAATTCCATCCATCACTAATGAATATTGAATGTTATTCGACTATGAAAAATGAATGATTTTGAGGATGGCGGATTCCGTTGGGGTCAAAATATTAGTTTCACTAAGTTAGAAATGTTGGTTTCAACAAGTTAAGGGATGAATTTGAAAGGAGAAACATTAGTTGATGAGACAAACAGTTATATTTACAAGGCTTTTATATAAGAAATATCAAACAAGCATTAGATAATATAACATACTAAAATACAGTACAAAACAATATTAAACTGCAAAATAATATAGAATGAATGAGTGTGCAACTCTAACCGAAATTTATTTAGTAGCAGTGACAGCATCTGTAACATTAGTAGCGCTTGACTGTGTTGGTGAAACAATCTCTAAACGTTTCTTGGCTCTGGGTTGTGGTGGATTTTGTTTGCGAACGAGTTGTTGTTGCGGGTCGAAGTAGACGATATCACTAGATGGAGGTGGTGGTGCTAAGTGATAGGTTGAAGGAGGGAGTGCAGTTGGTGGAGTGGAAGCACTTGTTGGCAGATGATGGGCTGGCGGAGGAGGAGCATGGTGACGAACAGTGGCTGGTTGATGTGCTGCTGTTGCTTGCAGAACATGCATCGCAGACTGCTGTTGTGGTGCTGCCGTCAAATGAGCTTGAGCCTGCGCTTGAATCTGTTGTGGTGCCATACTCGTCTGCCACTCATTACGACTGCCTGACGAATGATTCGCGTTGTCCAAATAATTTGTTGCTACTCGCTGTGTTGAATATCGCTTCCCACCACCTCTATTCACACCACTAACAGCCATTTCGGCCCTCGTTGGTGCTATCTGCACTCCTTGATTTGCACCCCTTCCTCCTACATTTCGATGCTTACCTGCACCTCGCATATATTGTTCACCATTATGAGCATGTGAAAAATCATCTGAAAATAACGCAAATGAAGTTAATTGTAAAACATAATAGCTCAGAAAAAGAATGTCACGAATTAACAACTACTTCACTTGTCATCACTGACCGCACTATTAAAATTTGAATGATCTACTAGCAGTTGCGATCACTGATCGAATCAAACAGATATGGAGAACAAGTTAGATATGAAGGATAAACAAAATACCTGAATTCACACTGCCATGAGAAGGTCGAATGATGCGTGCGGCAGGCTGACTGTTTGAGTGTGCACTGTCTCGAGGTGAAGTCATACTGTTATCATGCTGTCTCCTGCCACCCCTTGGAACTGGACGAGCATATGCACCTCTACCTCGATGCTCTTCTCTTCGAAGTGGTCTGTTGTCAGCAGCAGAATTAGTTTTATTACGACGTTCTTGCTTCACGGTTGTTATCGTTTCATCGCCCTCTTTCGTTTTCCCATCTACTTCAGTAACACCCTGAAATGGAAGAGTGTATTCTTCTTATCACTTTATAACTCAACACGCGAATGTATCCTCTTCATTAGGGAATGAAATCAAATAAAAATTTCACGGCATTTTTTTGCTTTCATGTTTTAATACATTCGTTTCGTTCGAGCAAAGTAATAAGAGAAAAATTTTTAGAAAGAACATCATAACGATCAAGCAGTGCACCAAAAGAACGGATGTTGCAATGCACAGCACGAAACCATTAACGAACCGTCGTTCGAATATCATGTCCGTATTTCATAATCAATTCACGTCGACTCTTCGGTCTTTGCAACCGCTCGTCGTAACGATCATGTCTCCACTTCACATCCGCGCGTGATCTCGTCATATCTCGAATGTGCTCCTCATCCGTATTTCTTGAATCATGCATGTAATAACGACCCGTTTTTGGAATGTACGCCGGATTATCAACGTTCTCATCGTCATCAAGCTCATCAACCGCTTCTTCGTCACTGATCGTATTTTCATCATCATTTGAATACTCACATATCGCCTGAATTCAAACAATTCCATTCCAAGAACAGACAATACTTCATCACTTTCTTAAGTCTTCCGATTCTATCCCTTAATTTTATTATACTCATTTTCAGTGGTGGGCGTTAACGTGCCAACCGATAATCCGCTCCTCATTTTTTTGTTGGTGTATTCATTCAACAATTATTTCTTCAAAAATAAACCATTAATGGCAACGATTAACGGCACCTGTCGTTACTTTTTCTACTCGTTTTCAGCTTTCCGCCGTCTGTTAATCTTTATCACTTAAGGAATATTTCCGCAAGAGGAAAATTCAGTTCTCATTAAAATTATAATATGTAAAGCATTAAAGAGAATTTGTGGATCACACTTAAGTGAGATAAGTATAAAAAAGCGAATGATATAACGGAGACTTTTCCCGGAGGGGCCCACAGCGCTACTGCAAATTTTCAAGAAACAGCTGAAATTAGTGGATTTGCGATAGCAATTAACGGATCGATTTGGCTGATTAAATTAGAGAAGAAATTTCGTTGAACTTTACCATTAGTGACGCTATTAACAGAGACACTTCACTAATTTTTTATTAGCGGCGTTAATAATGGTTTAACTTACAAAATCTTTAAAAAACAAAAAAAATCTCAGCGGATTATTGTCACAAGAGGCCTATTCCTCTTCATCATTGTGTCCAATGCGGCTTATTCTCATATTTTCTCGAACAATCAGTTCCAAACTATTGTAATGAGTGAAAATTGGTTGAGTATGTACCTGAGTTCTTTTTTCTTCAGAAACATGCTCTTTAACAGCGTCGCATTTTTTGTCACCCTTAATCGGTTCTGCGTCAACCGACTTTTGACTTTCTTCCTCAGTTAATACAGAATTGCTTTTACTATCACCCTCAACGATGTCCAACTCATTCTGTTTCTTGTCTGAGGCAGAATTCGACTGACATCTTTCATCTTCACCAGTTACTTTTTCAGTCTCATTTTTTTCAGTTTTTACAACTGCAGGTTCATTTGGCTCCACTCTCGATTCATCATGAACATTCGATCCCGATTGCTGAGTGTGTGATTCATTGCTGTTCTCGTCATGATTGCTATTAATGTCTTCGTCTTTTTTCGTCGTTTCTATCGATTTTTCAATAATTTTAACACCTTCACTCGATGAATCATCCTGTTTCGGACTATCAACTTGTTGTTCTGGTGCATGATTGTCATCGATCTTTTCTGCGGCTTGTACAACATTTAGATCCTCATTCTTGCCATCGCATTTCTTCGACTGTTCGTCCCCACATTCGTTGACTTGCTTATCGCAGCAAAGGTCAACTCCTTCTGACATCCTCCAATTATGAACACTAACCGCTACTCAAATAATCCTGCAAGTCGTCATAGCTATGCAAACAAACACTTCAAAAATGCCCATTCATACTGCATAACGTAATAGGTGGTCAGAATCGTATCATTGTACACGTGAATTTTAAATCGCGCATCATTGAACTATTCAGTAACATTTGATCAATCTTATCAGCAATTTCCTTTGCTACTTAACCACAATGCATACAGATCGACTCCCCACAAAAATTGTATTCATTTGAAACTGAAGTTCTTACAAATAAACCTATCGAAACAGAAATTTATACAGAACTGCACAGCATACACCTACAGCTTACAGTAATATACAGTAACGAATGGCAAACACACTGACCGCAACAAAGTGAAGGAGCTTGTCTACCAAAGCAACTGATCCTAGATTTGGGGATATTTTGAAATAGCAGAAGTGAAAGTATGACATAAAAATAATGAAATTTTTGCGACAAAGGGTACAATAAATTAGAAAAACCCATCATGATACCATCACAAATAATACCATCGAGCAATATTACCGTAGCGTACGGAACGGTAGTATGCAAGCAAAACAACACGACGAAATAATATCATATACTATCATAATTACATAAAATCACAACTGCACAATGATAAACTCATGACAACACAACAGTTGACAGAACATGCCACCTCAACTGATAACGCCTATAAAAGTTATGATAATAATTAGCCAGGAAACCTCGGCTACGTATTCTGAACACGCGCCAGCCAGTGCGCTGGCTAACGCGTGCTATGTATGTGATAGACCACACCCTTTTTCCATTGACCTAAACTGTCAAGATATTGTGCCACAATTCTTCGCACATGCAACTAACTTTTTGAACAAGAACAAATATTTCAACAGAAAAAAAAACTCAAATTAAGCATTTAACTGTGCTCACAGCAAATTGGATCAATGCAACGACTAGTAAAAACCCGTGATAATCGATTGACAGTGATCAAGCAGTTTGGGTTCATTCACCCAGTATATTCATTATTATGAATCTATACTGTACAGCACTGACCTGAAGTGCAATATGGCTCAAATGTATGTTTATATTCACTGAAATGAATCCATATCCACAGTACTGCTTCGGGTTACGACTACAGGGACAGAACAGTTGAAAACTTAATTTTCCCGAACTGAACAAAACTTTAAAACATGAGTGCTAAAAGGGAATAGAGGGAACACAACCGATAATGAAAAATGTGGAATAGAGTACGCACAGCATTTCCAACAGGTGCACCGCGGAGATTAACATCGATACTATTGATAGCTGCGCTAAAAAAAAGCTATCAAATATGAGCAAAACTACCACCGCTACAAAGCATCTTACACGGCGTCATCCACCACATAAGCTGAAAGCACTACGGCATCGAAAGCGGCGGCAATGAACGAGCACAGTATACCTTGCCACATAAATTCAGTGAGGTCTGTCTCCCTCGAACATATTCCTCGATGTACCCTACTATGCCATCAGCTTCCGATTTACCCGCATTCACACGTTTTCCACTTTCTGCGTGAGCGGGTTCGAATCGCCCACATACACGAACTACCTATCGTGGACAATCACCTCATACCCAAATACGCCGTCCCGAGCAGTATGCACTATGTGATCAATGGTTCGAGCGTAGCTGCGGAACGATCCGCACTTTGACAAGGAAACATTTTCCTGACTCGTGCGATATCATCAAGCAGCCAGTAGCCTTCTGTCTACTTTCATCGGTGCTATTGCCTATGAAGAACTTGTTCTCGTCGATTTCAACCAAACAGGGTCAAAAGTCCAGGTCGATGCCGCCCAACAGCATCGATATAATTCCATGCACATACCGCAAAAGACCTGGAAACACTTCACAATGATGTAAGTACTAGCTCCGCCTCGAGCTAGACCCTTTCTGGTGTATCATTGTGAGGTCACACATACATTATCTTGAGAAGATTCATCAGCAGCAGATGACCACGAGTGAAAAAAAGAGCCGTTCCTGAATGACTTCGTTCTATTGCATGTTAGACACATCCACTACAAACCACCCACAAGTACGACCCGTTGCATTCATGCTATTTGCAGTCCAACGAAGACGTACGAACCAATTCAGTGTTTCATCTGTCCATTCAGCACCCAAAGTACACGCGTGATAGCCCTTATTTTCCCCTTCCACAACATGATATGAAGGCTTTCATTACGCAAATCGAAAATCGCACAGTGAGGCAAAGAAGAGAAAATTGCGAAATTGCTGCTGCCTAAGCTCATTCAAAAAAATTACCACTGCAACATTCGGTTGTCGGAGTCAAAAGCAGAACGGTATTTCTTCCGGATTCGGAGCTCAAGCTAAGCAAACTTCGGAGCTGTAATTGCAGCCAATTCTGGAGTTTTGGGAAAAAAGCGGAACAGGAGCTGGAGCCGGAATTTTAAAAAATACGGAGTTGTAGCCGGAGCTGAAAGTCTTGAAATTCGGAACCGGAGCTGCGCCAGTTCTTTTGAAAATGAACATCGCCGGTTGTGATCGAACTTGTATGAAGGGTAGAAAATAGGGACAAAATGTTATGCTTACCTGTTTGTTCGAACATCATCCACGCTTACGTGCAAACAAATAATGACAAAAACCGATATCCAACACAGAACTACACAGCCGACAACACACGATGGAACAATGTCAACGAATCAAACCGTAACCAACAACATAAAGCCTCAGTTTCGAAGATATTCTTCTTTCAGAGATTAAGGATCATAATAAAATAATAATCATAATATATTCACTCTTTCGTAACCACAAAAGATGTACGATATCTAAATAGGTGTTCAGTATGGAATGCGCATGACTATAAGCATGCAAATGAGCCAGATATCAGCACGGATTCATTATAATGAGTATATGCGCCCGCGAAATGAATATCACGGGTTTACTTCTCTCCACTTGTTGTGAGCACGATTAAATAATCATTTTGAATTACTTTCTAATGAAATATTTCTTTTTGTTCAAAAAATCAGTTGCAAACATGTTCGAAGAACTGTGGCACAATGTTTTGATCGATGCTCCAGCTTACCCATATTGTGGATATGATAGACCACACCCCTTTTTTCATTGATCTAAAAGGATTATCCTGACCATGAAAATTAGCATTAGAACTGGAATTATAACAAAAGCGGAAGTATCGATTTTTTTACATAGAGTGTGGAGACAAAAACGATGCTTTTGCATTATATGCTGAAAATAGATAGATGCACAGTTCGTGCAACTCGCACAATTCTTTGGCGCAATGTTAATTTCATTCACTTTTCACATTGCTGATGCATCTTTCTGAGATCACCTTATGCAGTTGCTGTCTCCAAGATTTGTTGAGACCCTTCTTGCTGCGTGATGAATTCGTCTCTCATGAATCTTAGCAATCACCTTATTCCACATCGCCATATTGTTCCTCATCCGTTATTTTATTCGGAACATTTCACTTTTGTCAATATCCAAAACCTAACTTTTGCATCGTATTATCAACATTCGTACTGTTTCCACTGATTTCTATTACAATGTTGTCTTTTAGAGAATAAAGTAACCTACTCAGTAACATGTTTCCTGTACAAGAAGGTTTAGGAAGATAGATGAGGCATGATCTGAAAAGCAATGTGTTTTCATGTAAACATCAAGGTATATTAAAGTAATGGAAACATTTTCGGCTGATCTATTTGAAGAAGGACTTCAGAGTGTATTTTGTGTTTTAAATCTAACAGCTGTGCTTAAAGTCTGTTTTATTGTCATTCGAGTGAATGCATGAAGCACGCGTTGTATATCGATATCACTTTAAATCGATGACTTGTTTCCATTCAGATTGCTCTTTCACGAGCAAAAACATTATGATTTGTGTTGTTTTCGGTTGAAACGATTAACCGTCTTCGATTGTCATTTAATTTGAAGTGTGAATGTGAGTGCTGATTGAACGTTGAGAAAATTGCATATTTTTTTGTTGGTTACATTTGAACACATGCTCGAGCTTATGATTGCTCAATGTCACGTTTTTGCATTTCAGTTTTACACAACTTCGTCAGTTCATTTTGATTTCAGTGGATTTGCATTCGTTTTTAGTTGTGTTTTATAGGTTTAGTGCATTTTCAATGGATGACAACACCAACATTGCTGAAACATCAGACGGGTAATTTTTAAATGTTTTTTTTTTGCGCTCGAGAAACAATTGGTTGAAATGCTAATAGTGCTACACGATACCAGTTGCTCTCTTTTTCATTAGTGAGCAAGTATTATTTATTTGCTAACCGTTCAGCGATTACTGCTCACTTTCGTTTTTTTTTGGTTTTTCTTGTACAGTTTTATTACCACAGTCTGGTCTGATAATGGAATAGTGAAAAAAATTTTCAAGGATGGAATGGGTTGAAATCGTCGAACCTCAAACGAAGCAACATATGTATGCAAATTTGCGCACCGGGCAATGCGCATGGGAACCACCAGAAGGAGTTCGTGTGTAAGAAACTGCGTTGTTTTTCATCTTGAGCGATAAGTGCAAATATGTGAATTAATGGATTAGTAGCGGTACTTTTTTTTTCAGAAAAAGAACTGATAGTAACCAATGGTGGGAATTATTTGATTCGAACACACAGCGATTTTATTATTACAATGCAACATCAATGAAAACTGTCTGGCAAAAGCCGTTCGACTGTGATATCATTCCACTAGCTAAATTACAGGTATGAGTTGTGGAACGTCTCTTTTCAGTCTCATCCACAATACCCATTCAAGTATTCGAAATAATTTTGCTTTTCGCATTTAGTTTTGCAATCTCGTTTATGTGAACGCAAAAGTGGGTGTTCGTTATCATAGAACAACCTGATATTCCACAGTCAGATCCATCAACTTCCTCCACTTTTTTTTGGCATGCGTGAATTCCTCCCGTTGCATGAGAATTAATAAGAAGTGGCTATACTTTTGCAAAAAATGAGAGTTACCTATCTTCTGAGACTGCAGGTTTCTAAGTAACTTCTTGAAACAGGAATCTGATCAGGGAAGAAATTGATATTTGCGTTGAGTATTCGTTCCATGTTCAGTTCTAACAAAAAGTCACTTTCGATTTTACGCAAAATATAGTCTCATCGTCTATTTCTGATTTTATGCAGACTTTGAAAGAGAACACAGAAATGTGTTCAAGTGTGGAACGGAGCATATCATCGTCAAATGCGAAAGAAGCGAAACGAAACAGTGAAACACAGACTTCTCCGAGGGAAGTTCGTCGATCTGCAGGCACGTGTTCATCATCGCGTCTTCTATATGCCCAGGTGAATTCGCAGTTAATACTTCACGATTGAATGTATTTATGAGGAAGTTCTTCATTGTTATTTGATCAGTCGTGTGCTGAGGGGTTTGGATGTAACGCACTAATCAGTTATTTCAATTTTCCTTCTCATTTCAATAGCATCTTGTATACGCTTTTCGAAGTTCCCTATTTTTACATTCCTTATATGGTTCAGTCCATCTCCTTAAGGAAACAAACACTCTTATGCATGTATGTTCCTTTTTCTGTTTCTGAAGGACTTGAGTTGTTGTCTTTTTAGAACATTTCACCGGATTCCGGTGTTGTCAGTGCACGGCATATGGGTTCACCGTATATCTATGCTCCTAGACGTGCGAACGCTGCGCTTGTTCAAAGCTCACCTGTTCCGGTGGAATCATTGGTCAGCTCTGTCAAGGTTCGATTCTTGTTTTAGTGCAGCGTATTGACAAAGGTGCATCTAGCGGATGAAAAGTGACAGTGGCTACATTAAGCGCTGATAATGCGTCTTTCATTGATATCGAATTACGCAGCTGCTATTCCTCTTTAAGTGAAATCATTTCTGCGTAACACACCTTATTGAAATGAAAATTCTTGTGAATTTGCGCCAAAAAAGTGACGCTCGATTCTCACAAAAGCTTTTCAAGAACTGTTTCAATCACATGAAATGAGCAAAGGCTGATGAAATTAATAATTAGAAAATGTGTGCATAGAAATAGGTTATACAAACTTGATTAAATGCAGGAACTGAATGTCAAGGAAAGTGAATGTGAGTGCAACAGATTGATTGATGTAGACGATGTGTCAAGTTCATGTTCGCACAATGATCAGTTAGCACAGTCACATTCATGCACATCTTATCAATCGATCACCACTCGTAATACTTCCACTCCGTCAACGATTGTCTCCGATCATCGAAACTCATCATCTCAGTCACCAAATATCTCATCATACCTTTCCAATACTCATTCATCCACGCTCGGCTCATGCACTTCTTTAACGTTATCCACCAATAATCGTTTCCCATCTGATCGTGCACCTTTACCTCAATCTAACAAAGTTTGTTCTTCTTATTTGTTCATTTTTGTTCGATTTCAAGTGAAAAATTCATCTAGTTTTAAAGTTGTTCTATAGATACGTTTAAGAAGTGAAAGAAGCTCATCAGAAATATTGCTTTGCAGTGAAAATTCCACACAATCGTTTCAAAATAATACACAATTTACTTTAAAGATGCTTATATGTAAGGGATACTGATTTTAAGACCAACAGTCACGGTATATCATCTGCATCACATAACCAGTCCAATCTGTCTGAGTTGGAAAGTTGGACAAAAGATTCGATAAAGCAACCTGTTTGTGGTTGTGTTGACGATAAAGTGCTTCGAAAAGAAGCCCCCTCATTGTTCAAAGCAATTCAATGTTATATGGGCGATCGCAAAAGCAAACTGTCTGCTGATCAGGTTGCATTCCAATTTTATACATTGTGTTTCGCTGGTTCGTATGATCACGTGACAACCGATTTATTTATCTATTTGCAAAGGATGTTGTATTAAATTGCGGAATCTGATCGTTGTGAGGGTTCACTGAATGCGAAGGTTTCTAGTCGAAAGCGTTGTAGCAGTTACTTCGATTGATTTTTATTCTGCAAATGAACATTCAATGAGAAAATAGATGTATTATTTTCTTGTTTCATTAGGAGTGTATCGTGACTGATTGTTAAATGATATGTGTATATAAATTGGACTCTATTGAAATGATGGAAAAACGTTTATTCTTTCACTCAATTGAATATAATTTTTTTCGATTTTAATTTCTACTTCTTCATTTAGTTGGCGGTGTCTTTATGTGAATCAGGAATCTCGAAAAAATCACTAGGCGACGAATTATTTTGCCAGCTCATCAAACAGCTTTCAAACAATCAACGCTTCGATTCTGTCCGGCGTGGCTGGGAACTGATGGCCATTTTTCTCACATTTTTCACTCCATCCTCAGAGCAGATCACACTTAAATTATCACGTTTCATAGAAGGAAATTCAGATCGTCTGTTAGATACGCCTGAGGTATGTGGGATATGTTATTGATATTTCACATAAAACAGCAATAAAACGTCTCAGTATGACAAATGGTGTTTCTTATGTTTGCTGTTCTTTTTCTTTCAGTTGTAAATAATTGAAAGAAGAGCTGATCAAATGAGCAAATGAATGTAATCATTTTTGCATCGATTATTCGCCTGTTTGCTATTCAGGTTCCAGTCTCTCATTATGCTACACAATGTTCAAGACGTCTAACAAGAACGGTACAGCATGTCAAGCCGACGTTACAATTAGTTCAGCAGTCGCGAGTGCATATATTCAGCCCACCTCAGTTTTGTGCCTCATTAGATGATTTGATGGAAATGCAAGCAGAGAAATATCCAGAAAGGTTTCAATTACTTTATCGTATTACATTTATCCAACTATGCATGCTGTTGTTTTTTTTTCAAATAATTTGCATAATCAGGCGTTCAGTTGTACTAATTCCTTAATACTTTGATATTGTCTTGAACATTGGGTTAATTTTATAATACGGTATCGCTGTTTTTTCCATTTCAGTATATTCTGTTGCTATCGTTTTTTTTGTTGTCTCGTTGCATTCCTCCTGAAATTATTTGTTGCAATTTATAAACACATTCAAATTTATTCTCGCACCGAATTTTCCGTTGACCGTTGAAATCAAATTCTACTAAATGCTCACAAATGCATTCATTTTCCTTCATAATACAGTTTTGTTAAAATTTAAACTCATGCAAATGTTTTGAAGGCGTTTACCATGGGTGCAAACAACGCTGATTGATTTGATTCTTTCATCAGATGGACAACATACCGAGGGTTTGTTTAGGGTCAACGCGAATCCAGAACATATTCATACCGGTGTGTATTTATTCCTTCATCATCTTTTAACATCATAAGCGAGTTTCGTTTTCTGATGGATGACTGATCCACTCTTCAATGTTTATATATCAAGCCTTTGAATGGTCACAGTGATTGTGATTGCAATCTTTATAGATAAACGATTTTTTTGCAGCATAATTTATGCGAATATGTTTTATGTATAGTTTGTTTCATCGAATACTTCAATGATGATGCAGCAGCAAATGTTTGCTCGAATCATATTTAGTAGATATCGAATAGTGTTATCTCGTGAAATAGAAATTTGAATGAATAGTTGAAAGATTGATGAAGGTGAGAAGTAATTGCAGCAAGATTACGACTGGATCGTGGTTTAGTACCAGTGGTTCGTGATGCACATGTACCAGCAGCTCTACTTAAGCTCTGGTTACGATCCTTACCTGAAGCCATCTTACCAGATGCGCTCTACGCTCGTTGTTTGGCCGTATGTGATCAACCGGATGAAGCGTGTCGTGTTATTGATTTGTTACCGAATGTCAATCGTCTCGTGGTTGCTAAGCTGCTTCATCTGTTGCAGGTAATTCCGAATTAAATAAGTATCATGTATTTGTTACTGCAATCGATTGTTCATATTGTAAATTTTCAGTTATTGACTGACGAGGAGACTGTAAAGCACACGAAAATGGACGTGTGCAATTTAGCAATGGTGATGGCACCTAATATGTTACGTTGTTCGAGCGATGATCCACGTGTCATGTTCGATAACGCTCGAAGAGAAATGACTTTCATAAAAACACTTGTTCTCCATTATGACACCACTTTCATTCAAGCTATCATCTGAAATTCCGTTTCATTTGCGTCAACTTTGTCTGCATATTAGTCGATCTTTTTCCGCCCTTGCACTTAACAATTCACTGTGATTGTCATGAAATCTTCTACGTTCGCATATTGATTAATTTGATCAACTGTTATCACTGGCTGAAATTATGTTTCGTTGAATGTTTTTTATTCGCATTGTTGGGCCCTTTTGTTCACATTCAAATCAACTGTTAAGTGTTTCCACAAGTGATTTCATTGTACTATTTCTCATTTCAAGATGATTCTCCTGTCAAATATACTGACCCACTGTCATCACAAAACTAAAGTTTTTTGGTATATTCAGCGGTTTTTTGGTATACATTCAGTTTTTTGGTGTATTATTTTCATATTTATAGCATAACAAGAACGCTGATGCGTTATTAACATTGTGCAAATGGCGCAGTATGAATGTCTTCGTGCACATAAAAGAAACTCTAGAATCTGATTGCAAAGAGCACAATTTAACTACTGATTTCCAAAAACTGCTTTTTGTTCTCAGATGATTTTCCGCATCAGTTGCAGTGCATCATTTGAGATATCGTTGCTCATTTACTTACTTCTAACCGTTTAACACTTGTTTTGTAGGTGTTTTAATGCATGCTCCTGTATTTCTTTCATCATTACCGTTTATGCGTTTTATCTTCTAGTCTATTCGTAAGATTCGCTTAATTTTCTGTTGATTTATTGCACAATTGATCAGTCAGAAACTAACGTTTTCGATTTTGGAAGTTATCATTTGTTATTTTTGTATTCCACCATTGATTGTCAATTGTTGCATTTTCTCCCTAATAATTTCTATTGTAATCAACGTTCAGTTGCATAGTTGAATTCAGCCCTTAACAATTCCTTCAGAAACATCAAATTTTCAGTTCTCATTTCAGTGTTCCAAGTATTCTCTTTTAATTTTATGCATAAATTTAGGCAAATGAAGGCATTGAGAAAAATGTTGTGTGATAATAGATTATCGTATTTCACTCAATTTTCGAATATTTACAATTGTTTCAGTTAGAATGCTTGAATATCACAGCTAATGCATATGCATGTTTCTTTATATGTCAGCTGTTTAGTGCAGATGTATATGGGCTGAGTGACCTTAATTCTTTTGCAATGTTTTATTTTCAATTTTTATGCCAGCAAAAAATTGATGAGATAATGAATTGAGTATCATACCATATCCTTCTTTACATAAATGGTTGAATTGAGAGGATTCCCATTCCACGTATCCTTGTAGTGCTGTTGGTATTTGTAAGGATTTTAACCCAGTGTAGGGTGGATAAGTTCTTGATGTTCATTACGATGCTTGGTTTTAGCATTAATGTCAGTGAAAGTCATATACCACTGTACACATCAATCTGATGTATCTCTTGTATCTCAGTATCATTTCATTCACTCATTGATGGTTTTCTCTCAAAATGCACTGTGATTTTAATTGTATAATTGTTGTTTTGCGTTGTGAAACATTCATTCGGACAAGATTATCGCTCATAGTTTTGAGGTACGACAGCTGGTTAGTTGCTGGAGTTTGGAAGTATTTTTCTCAAATCGGCCATTCTTTCTTATGATTGTGTCATGCTGATGGTTCCTTGATTATATCATGCGTTTAGACATTTTGGTGTCGGTTCAGTTGTTTTTTAGTCAGTGAACCCCCATCGCCTGTTTGTTTCGGCGGACATATTTTAGCTGTTGAGCAAAAAAAAAACTTTATTCCTTATTTGCAATATTCCTCTTCTCAGTACAAAATACCTATGACCAGTTGTTATCTCTTACGTCTCTTTTGTATTAGCATATTACCAACTCTTTCATATCACCAATTTTGATAGGTTTTTGAACAATTTCATTGGGAATGGTATCCTTGTGAATTTGGTGTAGAAAAGTTTTTTTTTTTCACTGACAGTCAGCATATATTTAGTGAAAATTCAGTGTAAAATTCAATGTTTTTAGATGAATTATTCAACATGATTGCATCGTGTTTGTATCACGTTTTTGATCATCTTTATCCCCATTTCATCAATGTAAATAAGTTAGAAGTAATTTTCATTTTTGTAACTGATTCATTTGCTATTGTTTTATATGCAGTTTTTCATAATTGCTAATGACAATAAAATATCAATATGTAAATACAATTCCATGTTTCCCAAAAAACTGATGGAGTACAGTTTTTATATTTTTACATTCAAACTTCAGATGAGAGCTTTCTTCATTGCGTACTTTGTTGCTTATATGTAAACTTGCTTGCACTTAAACTCAATTTTCTTACTTTTTTCTTTTCATTTACCGACCACACAACCAATCAATCATTGTTGCAGACGTTTTTCCGATGCATATGTCAATCAAATTCAGCAACTATGGGCGTAGCAACGGTTTAGAGGATGAACGCGTTTGGCATTCTTTCTTAACATGACGCCAATGGAAGCAAATTAATTAGCAGTTTGAATGTTCGGTCAACAATAGTAGGCGTTATTTGGCGGTGGAATTGGGGTTGTGTTTGTTGGTGAATGATTGACTGGATTGCTACGGCTACTACGGCTTTGTTCTCTTCTAATTTTCCGAGAAGTGTGTGGTAACCATTAAATTTCAGTATGCACAATAGAAGAACATGCGTGAAACTTGTCGAGTGGTAAATGCTTTTCGATAAGGTCGACAATGGGCAGTTCTAAAGATGTCTTAAGTTTTGTGAATTCGCAAGAATGTGAAGTATTTTTTGTTCGATACTTTAGTCGATTATTCGACGATCGTGCCTTTTTCATGGCATCACAGATCACTGCGCTGGAAGCAGTCGAAAAGGTTTCCTGAATTAATTGTTCTCTGTGCTTTGTTGGTCTTCTTCTAAATGCAATCGATCACCTCCATTAATACTCCTGAAAGTCTCGGGGACTATTGTGTTCGTAGTAATTGAGCAGTAAAGATGCTGTTTTTGTGGTTAAAATTTGGTTTATGAACAAGATCGGTACTAGTGTCGTTTGAGGGGGCACAACAGCACTGTGGCTGAGGCTGAAGCTGAGCCTCAGTCTAAGCATAGCCTCAGCCTCAGTCTAAGCGTGAGGCTGAGGCTACGCTCAGGCTAAGACTGAGCGTCAGCCGTAGTGCTGTTGTGCTTGTACACGCTCGCACAACAGCACTATGCCCCTGAGACGACACTAGTGCGACGAAATCGATACGAAAGATTTTGGATTGAATACGATCGGCATCAAACTTCAGGCATGCAAAGCTGCTCCATCTTGGCGCATGGCTGCTGATCATTGCGTCAATGCACTCGAGAAACTCAGCACTGACTCAGAGGTATGCACATTCCAAAAGGCTTTTACATCAAACTGAAATCGGAACGATGAAAATAGTTTCTTAATGACATCAATTACGAATCAGTTCGCTTCTTAAACAACGAAACTGTATTGTTTATAAATGATGAAAATGTCTTTTATAGACAAACGCACTCATAAGTAATTTAAACAAGGCGGTTATCGAATGCGACGAATCTGGAAATACTTCGCTATTTTGTGAACGTTTCAATATAATACCGCGGTATAAAAACAACGAGCTAGCGGATGAAATTCCTCCGAAAATGGTTCGATTTCATTGTTTTGTGTCATTCATGCATTCAGAAATAGTTTTTCATATAGCTTTTCGCCTGTTTCATTCATTTTTTCATAGGGTATTGATGAAAAGAATGAGAAACCGAACCAAAGTGTTGCACGTTTACTGGCAGAGTTTATGATCATATTCCATCGAGAAAATGATTTTCACGCAATGTCTGTTTTAGAAATTCTGTATCGATCTGATACTTTGTTTACTGTCATCATCGATTGATTATCGTGATGTCTGGAGTGTGACGCGGTTTTTTGGTCGCGTATGCGATGAAGTTTTACCAGCATTAAGAAGGCGTGCAGAAGAGACGAATGGTAATTTGAATATTATGTCGGTGGGTGATTTATAATAGTCGTTTAAATAGCATTTTGTTGTGGTCTTTCATTTTATGGTCATTTTGTTGCCATTATTGCATTGTCATTTCATTATTTTATTCTCCTTCATTCAGCAGTACATTCAGATTCTTCTTTCGTACGTGATGACGGCTGAATTCAACGGTACGCGAGGTGACGATGATATTTTATCAGCGAACTTCACAATTCTAAAGAAATTTACCGGAACAATTACAAATATGTCGGATGTACTGCAAGATGATTCGCCTCCAACGTAAGCATTTGCTTATGAACAGTAAAAATTCACGTTTGAAAACTTGTTTTCGTTCACTGATCAGTCTGAACGCAGCAGACATGATCGTGACGGTTGTATATTACGATCGAAGTGACGTTTCTTTTCGCAGCACGAATATTCACGATTTTTGCTTAAAGTGAGTATTCATAAAATTTCTCATTTCAGCCAAACCATGCACAAACTGATCAGAATGGCAGTCAGCTATTTGCGTTCATTAAATTGCTTCTTGACGTTAAACGAACAACTCACTAAAGTGCAAAATTTTATCGCTAAGCATATCACAGCGATCGATACAAATTTTGCAACGCTAAATGCCATCGCTTCAAATCAATATCAAGTACGAGTTCTATGTTGGCTCTCTTCATTTCTGTGAACGTGTTTTGTGTGGCCGTAAAGAATCATTCAAATACAAGACGATTCGTTCTCTATCCTCGTTTTGGTGAAATAAATCGCAGAATGTTTTAAAATGTTGTTCTGATCTCGGAAAATTGCTACTCTTCTGAATGAACTGCCGCAGTGCTCAAATTCAGCAGAATTTTTTCTAAGTCTCTCATATCACTTTTTCTCTACTTTCATTGCGAACTTCGTTCATCACATCCGTCTAACAGCTGACAGTTTTTTTTTTTTGAATGAAGAAAATGGAAATGCAGAGAGAACGCAAATTCGAGACATTGTAAACACTGTAGAATGCAACAGAATTATTAGTGAGATCGGATTTAGAAGAGTGTCGGAAAAAATTTCATCTAGAAAACTGCCGGAAATTTTATTCCGATAATGGTTCAGGAGTTTCGATCAAATAAGTGTCGAGATTTTAGTTCACCCATTCTGTTTCAACTTAAATTCTACCTTTCGGTATTCGGCATTATGCTATCGAACTAATCGTTTCGTGGAAGCTGACCATACGAAAATTGCCTCAAAAGATTTCAATATCCTTTTTTTTCCACAGGATTTATCGATTTATACGAAAAACCATGTGGTAGCGTTTGCGTTACGTGATCGTCTAATTTGTTTGAATTGTATTAGTGATATGGGTGCGGCGTCTCCGCTGTTCAGGTATGTTTTTAGCATTTTAAAGAAATAACGAGTTCGTTTCCAAAAATTATTGAATTCTGAAGCATTTGTTTCAAATTCTGAACGATTGATTTTGGTTGCAAAAGGTTTTGTGCAGGATTGATCTGTTTATGGCAGTAACTTCTTCAGTAAAATGAATTAAAGATCGCCTTCTCTCAACACTGAAGTCATTTGCACTCAGTTATCATCGGATTGTAACGGGAAATCGGAAAAAGAAGAAAAAAGCACTCCATCCAGAAGTTCCGACCATGAACGTCACACTCGTTTCGTAACTTTCATCGAGTTAGTTTTGTTAATATCCACGCGTAAACTTTTACAGATGATAGATCGTTAGCCTTATTATTACTCATCGAATCGCTTTTTATAGCTTCGATACACCAGAGTCAAATACGGAGCAAGTTGTTACGACTGCATGTTCAGTGGATTCGGGTGTTGTCGAGGATATTAGTGAAAGTGAGAAGGAGAACTTAGATCCCGATGCAGTTGTCATCTTGGAAAGGTGTAAAAACACCGAGGTATGTTTGAAACGTTGCAAACTTGAAATGAATTAATTCTGCTTTCATCGACACATTGTCTAGCACTGCTCACAAAATCAATGAGTGAAATTGAAAAGTTTTTGAACGGTTAGTGAAATTGTTGATTTTACTAGTGTGTTGCGGGGATAGGAAAAATCACGGACGAAATTTTGCAGTCGGCAACTCCGAAAATGCGGTCGGCTCAAAAATTGTTGAGAACGGGTTTACCAAAATTCCCTGACTATTAGTATTGCAGGGATGAAAAAAAGTCGGAGACAAGGTTCCCAATCCTCACACCACATTACATTTTATCCATCAGACCATACGTAAACATTATTTGATTTGTAGCGTTGAAAGGCGATTGCGTTCTACGATTTCCAAAAACATTTCATGTTAGATGCCAGTGTAGATTTGTTAAAAGCTTGTATAATTGTTACTACGTTGGTAGTATTCTTGCTTCATTTTAGATTACCGAAACACCAACACACTCGAGAGTAGGACGATCTAAGAAGCTTCGGATACGTGATGTCAACGTTGGGAAATGTTCGAAGTCTATTTGTTACGAACAGTCTGCGGACAGTTCAAGTTTAAAAAATGATCGATTAAGTCGGTGCAATAAGCGTAAGACTGAAGAAAATTGCAAGACCTCAGAACGATCTATGACAGCAAAAAAGTTTTGTTCAACTTCATTGAAAAACAAGAAAAAAATCACCAAATTGAGTGATGGACAAACAAGATTAACGAATTTCTTCACAAAGATATCCTAGTCTTGACGCTTTTACTCACTGCATTGTATTCTAGTGTTATTGTCACGCGTTCAACGCCACTTTAGAGCTCAAAATTCTTGCAACGATTTATTCACTTGTATTTTAATGTTTGTTACAGTATGGTGCCTGGATTGTCCATATTGATTTTCAGCGCTTTCTCATCATTCCTCTCAGGAATATACCTTTGTATCGTGTATAAAAACCGTTTATTCCTTCACATATTTACATCAAGATGGCAATGTTTTTCGATGGTCACAATTTCTATGGTCACAGCTCAAAGAATGAAAAGTTTTTTTCAGAAAAAAATCATCAATTTTTTCCTTGAATCGTATTTTCGGAAAAACGTATTTTTCGGAAACTTCGACAATATTCTACTGAATTTGCCAATCACACAGTTCTAAAATGAGACTTTCATCAGCGTAGAAAACAAGCAATCGTGGTAAGAGTCGAAATAATTCGAATGAATTCGTCTAGCGCAATTCAAGAATCGGACCATTGTTGGTAAGCATATAATCGTTCAAAGACCATCGGTAACCATTTTGGTAATAAAGCGTCGAGCCACCAAGCGTACAATAACAGTTTGCTTTGTAATAATTCAACAATCACACTAAGACTCAGAATTCGAGATATAGACTAACTCAATTGCGATCTGCGTGTTCTCTGCAGAAACTGAAAAATTTTGTTGTGATGTCCAGCCAGAATTGGAATTTAGAAGGAAATTATAATCATACCGCAACGTCAAGATTTGCCACAATGTCATTTTAATCTCCCACAAGTTATCACAACATAATCAAGATCTCTCCCGTAATTTCACTAGCACTAAGCAAACATCTAGTCAAATTATGTCAAAACACCTTAAAGTCTAGTCAAGTTATGTGCAAAGCAGTGTCAGCTTCAACCAAGTTCACTGCTATGGTATATCCGCAGGAATATTTGTTGAGACGAGGTGAGTCAGAAATATTTGGCGCTTATTAGAGGCTGTTCAGTGTTGAATTCATCGAGCTACAATTCGTTCCACTAGAAAGTTGACTAGGCTACTGCTGATTGGATAAGAAGGCAAGCATATTTATTCCTTGGCATTTAAAGTTTATCGGAAATGGGTGAGCACAACTCACTTCGTTCGGTTACATATAAGTTTTATTCATTATCAATAAGATGGTTCATCCACAATTCCACATTTGACAGAATATATATGGCAATTGAAAACGTGGCACTGGCTCGGCCTCTTCGGTTGCATCACACACGTATGTGGCAGCCTCTTCATGTTTTTCGTAAATTTTCTCGAGCATCTCATGTAACGCTAATTCACAGTTCGATCCACTTTTCGCACTGAAAATGGTTATCTGAACTTGTTTCGTTCAGTGCAAATAGATTGTTTCGCATTTGCACTTTAAGTATTTGCTGCTGAGGGGTTCGCGTTGAGTTTTTATTTTGGAAATCGGAGCTTATTATGATGTTGTTCACTGATTTGTTGTCTATGGAATAAGCGTGTGCAATGTTAATGGAAAGATTTTGGTGATTTTTAAATTACGTTTGCAACGAATAAAATACAAAGAAGGATTCTTTAGCGATAAGTTCACCTTGTCTCGAAAAGAGAAAATCCAATTCTCATAGACATGTCTTCTGCATCTTTAAAAGAAACTTTACGATCTTCTCGTCGATCAGTCTTACAGCCAATTAAAAATATTTCACAGTCCGGTGAAATTAAATGACTCAAATCCCCAATGATATTACTCAGTTCAGAGAATGATTTGGCATCAGTAATATCGTACAGCAGGAAGATACCGCACAAATCGACGAATTCAGTGCACTGCAAGATCATTTGGGTTGCTAAACAGATGACGCAAATGACTGCTGAAAAAAGATGGACAAATATTCTCAGTTCATAAGCTGAATCAGCTATAAGTTGATTTGAGTCAGCTATCTGAAGTGTATGTGATCTTAAAGGTCATTCTAAGTGAAACCAATGACTGTAGATAGTAACACAAGCTCTTGAGATTGATATAGGAACAAAGTCATTCGATAATTCATTATCGGTTTTTCATGAACGGAATTCTCATTTCTAAATTCACTGGTGAAAGATAATGCGCAGTCACAGAGTCAGTTTTAATCTTTCAATTTTGTTGCTGAAGTATTGAGTCAACGTAAACTTCTCCACAAAACGTAGTTGAGTTAGAAATGATCTTTAAAGCAGCAGTATACAACATACATCTGTGATATTATTCGATTTTAGGATTTAGTTCACCGATTAAAAAACATTAGTGGATAGCTGAAAATGAGTACTGATAAAGATTCCAGATGTTAAAATGTAATGAAAGACTTTTTGGCGCCGGCGGTTTTGGAACGTCACGAGCATACGACCGAATGTTTCACATTGGCCCAGCCAAGCTAGCACCGAAGCATTCAACAATAAGACAGTGACGCCAAAATGGCGGTGCCGAAAAGTCTCGTTCCTTTTCAAAGGCATAAAAAATTACACTTGTTGTTGGTGTTCCTTCGACGACTAAGCGTTGCCTTATGATATTTGCCGTTCGGCAATGCTCATTCAATTGTTGCATGCCTGAATCAATTGAATTAACTTAAATACATTCTTTAAAGCTAAACATACCATTGAAATAACAAAGTTCACAATGCTTTCCCTACTCCAATGAGCATAAAACAACACGCATATAACAAAAATTTTCTTGGATCTGAAGTGACATGTTTGATAGATCTTTTTAACGTCGTAAGTACTTTATCCATTTCATTTCTACTCACAATCAGTGACCAATTTAATATGTTCTGCGATCAGCAGCATTCAATCGGATGTTGTTACTTCTCTGTGAATAAAATTTGAGGGTATTGGAAGCAACTCATTTTTGCATCAGTGGACTCAAGAGACTGCACGTTTATTTTGTTTTAGTGAATAGCAAAATAACGATTCAGTGATGTATTCATTATCTCGTCAATCGGTTAGTCTTAGAAAGCAGTTAAGGAGTGAAACAGATTTCATAGAAAAATAAGAAGAATTTGACCCATGCATACCAACATCAATAAGCTCCACTTTCGCACAGCTACCGTCAGGCATTTGTTTGTGAAATACCTTCAATGAAAGTTATTAATTTAAAATGGACAATGATCCAGATATAATGCCCGTCATCACCCATAAAACTTTTGTAATCTATCTCTTAGAATTAAATGGTACGACAAGATTTCAGTGTTCGACTCTAGTTCAAGTATATCTCTTTGCTATAATTAGATTTTTTTAAAAGCATCTTGCCTACAACGATTAATCACCAAGATTAAATAACACCTACTAGACCTCACTATCAGGACTACGAAAAAACGATTAGAGCAGGGTTTCTCAACCGGAGGAGCTGGCACTCCTAAGAGGTGCGTGATAGTAGTCCAATGAATGTTAGATAGGGTTTTATTTTTTATGCATTGAAATAGGCGAGGACGGATTTCAACGCATACATGTGTAGAAAGAGGGCGAGATGGACTTTAACATATATATTTTTTGAAAAGACTAGAACGTACTTTGCTTTATCTATACATCGCCTCGATCGCATCCTTACAATCAAGCATTTAAAAGCATCATTCGTTTCGTGCAACTTTTGTATGCTAGTTATAACTGGAAGTGTTCGTAATCGTGCAAAATAAGTATACATGAGAATACATTTGCAGTGCATGTTCACAACCTGTCTGAATGGTTCAGTTGAATCAGCAGTGCCCTCTTCACAGAACATGTCTCGAGCCAGACGTCTTGCAAACGCTGTTTTACCACATCCATTCGTACCAACAATTGCGATTTTGAAGCGATTTCTTGAGAACTGCAATCGAATTCATCATCAGTTCAACTCACAGTTATTCAACGGTCCAACTTGCTACCAACCGATCAAAAACAGTGAACTGTCCGAAGCTCATTAACTGTGTAAAGTTTATTCTTTAACCAAGCCAAGTGGTTATCGGAGGAAGTGTCATTCAGTGAAATGAATAAGGGAATGATGAAAAAGAGCAGAGAGCATTCATTGCTTCAAATAATTAAAATCAATTTTTCTTCTTGTGCTTCCGTAATATCGTTCTATACGAAGTCACGCATACGGATAGATGTGTGAGACATCGGTGAGCTATGAGACGAAGCATAAAAATTGATAGTGGCTGATAATAAAGTTGAATGATTTTTATGATCGATTCATTCTTCATTTTCCCCCAGATTTTCGAGCAAGTTGATACATGTATCATAATAACACTTGCTCCATTACACAAATTATCACACCATCCATGTTGCACATTAAAGAAACTTGTAGTGAATGTGGCTGCAGATGGACTTCAACGAAATCACTCAATTCCAGTGATTCTCATTTTAAGATAAGCAATCTCTCTCCAGACTAGACAATCAAAGAATCACTTCTTTATCAATCAATGAGGAATAAATTCATTCAGCTCGCAGCATTACGTTCGCTGAACCTTATTATAAATTTGTGGATTGCTGTACCTTTTTTAAGCGAATCAAATGAACAATTACTATAAAGTTGAGTTGATACAGAAATAAGAACAGAATACTTACAACTCCACAGTGCATCATATCTTGCATCCCGCATCAACTAAGAACTGGCCGAATAAACGGAATGGCTCACAAAACGCTATGTTGTAAGTATATGGATTGACGATGAGAGGCAGCAGTGAAGCTGTCACATCGGAGAAAGCACACTCTTTCAACAGCAAAAAAACAACGAACGATGCCTTGTGCTTGTTTCAGTCAATACTGGGATGAATCATCTAAGGCAATATTCAAACAATTCGTAATTTTTAATAACATTCTATCATCCACTTTTAATCATTGCATCACACATTCATTCATTTTGATGAATAATCGTTCATACATTGTTCACCACCATAAGCAGTAATTTTGTTTTTCACCGGAAGAATTTTATTTGCAGAAGTTTCTCAGACTGACGAGCAGTTAATTTTTAAGTGAAGTCTCGTTGTGAAACCGTTCATGTTTTTATCACGTTTATTTGAGCCGCAAAATCAGGGACAAGATAGAAGCTTTCTGTTCAAGTAAAATCTTGAAAACTTCCAAGATATCCCAGATTCGGATGCTCATTTTACGTTTCAACGATATGACTGTCTTGAACAAAACTGGATAGGAAAATGAAAGGTTATTTTCCAAGAAAAGTATGAATGTTTTCATTTTTAAGTAGTCCATTTCAACATAATAATTCATACATACACATGACTGAAGCGCTGCGAAAGCGAGAGAGAGAGAGCTGCTTCGATGATAGTAATACGAATTTATAAGAATGGCTGTGCACTTTGAATTAATTTGAGCAAACGCTTTTAATCATAAAATCGACAATGTAGCGAAGTATAATATGATACAAAAATCATGAAACAATATTTTCTCTCTTGAAAATACTCATACTTATTGTTAGTGTTTTGGAATGCCAAACATTCGAGTGAGCACTGAACTATGAAGAGACATTGATAATAGCTTATCTTATCAGCATGTCAACATAGATAAGAAATTCACTCTTACCACCATCTTCCTTGCTTCGTGGATAGATTTCTTCAAAGAAATTATGCAATGCTATATAAAACTACTCTTCGCATCTCAATTTTTCCCATGAAGAAATTGTGCATTTGATCAGACGTAATAGGACTATACAATCAGATGAATAAATAGCAAGCAGGAATTTTTGCTAGAAGGTCAGCAGATATCCAACTTACTCACGGATATTCTACAGCAGATGTTCTACTCACACGATTTCTTGAGTTTCACATAATCGATCCGTAATGATTCAGTTGCTGCGTTATCATCACTATAGACAATATTGAAACTCATTAGCCTCGAGTGTAAATATTTCTCACCACTGTCTACAGAAAGTTTTCGTTGAAAAATCAGTGCACATTCTAGAAAGAGACGTTTAAAGTAACCATTCATTTATATTCGCTTATGATAACGATATTGAAGGAAACTAACGGAAAGTGCGAAATCGATTTAAAAACTCAATCAAATAACGACCTGTGGCTGATCCGTTATCAGATAATGGTTTTGTGCACCGTTTGCCTTTGAAGCCATCTTGTACCCTTACGATCCAATTGGCGTTCTCAAATAGCTGAAAATACTTTTAGAGCAAAAACGAAAACTCACTGTGGATTACAATAGTGAAATAAATGGAGAAATATGGCTGGTAAAAAAACAGAAGTTACCGCCGTGAATATTCGATGATTTGAATTGATATTGAAATGATCGTTGAGAAAGTGGTTGGTGTCGTCGAATATTTACAAAGGAGACGCTATCCTTCTTATCACTATTAGTATGACATTTACTGATAAGAATAATCAAAGTATGGCCCTTAAATGTCACTCAAACAACTCTAGAGAATAGATAAATTTTTTGCGATTTGATGGATTGATTCAACTTCCTCGACCACGCATATGGCTAGGTTCAGGCAGTGACACTTCTCACTTTCAGGTTCAATCATTTTTTAGAATTTATTGAAAATGTAACAAATTCGCAGTGACATATAGTATCATTTCATAGGTCACCTTTAGGGTATTTAAGTGCTACTTTCAATTGAGTAAAATGTTCAGTAATTTTGATAAAAATTGATAAGAGTCCTTTTTTTCAGTAGTGCAGTTATTAGTGTTTTCATATAGCAGAAATTTGTAACGATAACCTCCGCCACAATATCTTTTACGGGCATGATATAGCAATAATTTGCGCTATTTTCTTTCGCTAGCGTTTTAGCGAGTCAGTTTTTTTTCAGGCTCCCAATAATTTTTGTCAGCAAGGGAACGCTTATTTTTCAAACGTCAATTTATTTGCGCTCTAGCACTGGCAAGTGCTGAATTCGAGTTTACCGTATTTGTACTCGTCCTAACGGGATTTATCAACTAAGACATGGAAAATGAGCAGGTTAATGAGGCAGGACGGTAGTTTTGCAGATCCATTTTGGAAGCTTTTTGCATGCTCTGATCGTTGCTGTTTTCTACCATGAAGGAACTGAATCAGTGGACACAATAAGAGGCAAATGATGCAGGCTCTTAGATGAAATGCTCAGCATGGCGATATTCTCAAAAGGGAATGAGAAAGTCTAGTGTGGGCTACTTCTAGTTGATGGTTTTTCATCCTTGAATTTTGTTATCGTCATTTGGTTATTTGCTTATCGTTGAACTTCGTTTTTATTATTGACTGGTGCTTATTGTTGGATTTGATTATGTGCTGTTGAATGATTCAATAAAAATTTTCAACTGTTTAGTGGCGTAATGAGGCTTTTTACTGATCAAATGAACAATGCAACTACAAAATTTGAGGGAAGATTTGAAAGTAGCAATGAACAATAGCATAAATTCTGCTGAGTATCATTTTAGCAAAAACTGACACTTCTCTCAATTGGAGGCACTTTTAACGGAAAGTTTTCGTTACTTTTTTACCAGCAGCACCATCACTTTTAGCGAGACAGAATTAGCGGAACTTCGTTGTTTTTTTTTCCAGCAGCATTGGGTTTTGTCAGCTAAAACTACGGGAGAATGGGTCCAATTTACATTTTAATCTCACAACTTGTTACTTCCAAAAGAGATGCTCTATATTTGACCATCTGAAAATGTTTTATTTGTGGGTAAACTTTGTCTGAAAATTACTTTTGATAACCATAGAATGGCTGATCTCACAAGCTGATGTAATTCGTGGATAAAGAGGACGCAGCGATGGAGACTCAGAACACAACCTGATTATACTGAAAAGTATTAGAAATGTATCATTTGCAGTGTTGAGTGCCAATTATCTTGTTGCATTTGTCTACAGCTTGTCGAAATAATTTATTTCATAAGCATTTTTGCATAATCGGTAACAATATTATAATATCATTTTTTAAAACAGTAATCTTCTCATTGTCAGCTCCGAAGTCGTTGACCAAATGACAATGTTTGATTCCATGAGCTTTAAAACGCCAAACATCTTGGATGCCACAAAGATGCACAACCACTGTTCTACTGCAATAAAATTTCTGTACCAGATGTCATGAAAGATTGTCCTTTCGTTAATGGTAATTTGGCGTTTCATTATTCACATATTCATTACTTCAAACACCCAAATAATTACCATGTGAATATCTAATTGTAAGGAGCAGTGCTCTTCAACAGAATTTATAAAAGAAATGCACAAGCATCTATAAGCCAGAATGAATCAATTCAAGAAACAAAACAAACGATTGATTTATGATTTAAAAAAAATTGCTTACAGTTTTATTGATGTCGCTTTGCCCCACTCTCTATCCGCACACCGTCAGAAGTGATGCCGAATTTGAAAAAAATTGACTCATCTGCACGTTCCAAATCGCGTTTACAAAATTTTCGACTCCTGCTGCGACACCATCTCCGCAATTTTCAAAAGTTTGCTTCCTCCACCTTTTGAAATTTCGGCTTCGACTCTGCGTTTCAAATTTTCGTTTCCAGGTTCAAGTTGCTTTGCTCTCCTCCGACTCCGGAACAATCCGCATCCAGAAAAAACCCAACTTTGAATACTGAATATTGCTGTTATTTTTTTGAGAGCGCCAAAAGAAAATTACCTGGCTTTTGGGATCGGACATCACTGACGCGCAATTGGTCAGATGTGTGCCACGACGTTGGGATGAGCAAAAACTGATGCCTCAAAGAAACAAGCAGTGTCACTGTTACTTCCCAACTTTTTGCTTCAAAGTATTCATTGATTTGATTTGATCATTTTCTTGATATTCTCAAATATTACCGAGTACTTTCTTGAACAGATCACTTTCAAGGTTTACATTTTTATTTTGCAATGAAACGAACTGACATATGAAATTCGACTGACATTAAAAAATAATTAAACGAACATAAAAACGAATACACACGAAGATTTCTTCCTTGATTATTCCTCGACTTGTCAAAGAAATTACAGTCGGAATCAGGTGAGGGTGCGAATCAATCAAACGAAGGACTGAAGTTCATGCAGCAGTTTACGTGTACGAGACAATCAATCAGCAGTCATTTAGAAAGCAAATCAACATCTGGTAAGCAATTGCCATACACGAAAATTGTGAATACTGATGTGTCACGATAAAGAGTTGTAAAACCTGCGAAAGAATCACACTTTTCTCAATTAATATTCAACCAATGATGAGTAATAATTGTGTGTTGATCACTGATTCATATAAAGTTATCAGCGAAAAGCCATGCATTTCTATGTAGATAAGCAAACATGAGCACAAAAGTATTGAACCATCCGTCAGATTTTAAGAAAATTCATGTATTCTACAAAGGCATGATTTTTTTACGGGAAAGAGAAGGAGACGGAAGAGAGAAAATGTTAAAGATTTTTTTGTAAATTAAGGCGATAATCATGTAAAGTTTCATTCAAAAAATTCAGCTGAAGAAAAAACTGCAATGAAATGACTGCAGACGACAATCCTCTTTTAATGCAGACAAACGAATAAAAATCAATTCATAAAATAACGCACAACTATAGTTCACCTCCTGGCCTAGGTGAAATTGTACTCGCAGAAAGATGGAAGCACAACGAACAACATTTGAACAACTCTAATGAATCTGTTCACAATGCATTCATCTCAAAATGAGATTTCTTGGCGAAATCAGGTTTTTAAACTGACAAAGGTTAAAATTCGGCGCTGTTCAACGAGCACAGTTTCAACCCACACAGAACAATAAGCAGAGTTGGACAACACATGAATTGAAAACAAAATCATACAGCTTAGTGGCATAATGAGAACTATCAAGTCCACAAGATAAAAGTCAAGTTCAGTTACCAAATTCAGAAATTCCAGAACAGCGTCCATAGACAAATGAATTGCAGTTGAAAAGGAATGAATGATCCACAACAGTGACTCTTACTCACTATAACATAACAAGAAAAATATCGGTTTCTCACTAATGGACATCCTTTTCGAAATAGGTGAATGCGAAAAGAGCATGATTAGATATCAGACAACTAAAAAATTCAGGGCTTCATTAGATATATCATGACTACTTTTACCATACCACATAAGCCTAACCACCAATCATAAAACTTGCGATCAAATTTGTATTCTTCTCATGAATTTAAGCAAGCATTCAACTTGGCACGTCGCAGACCACGCCAGCTCTACACTATAAGTTATACAAATTTTTTAAAGACGCAAAACGTTCAAAAACCAAACAACTGCTTACATCGCAGCCTTTCTAATTAGACGTTAAGTAAATTGAGAAAGTCGTCAGAAACAAGAATAATGAAGACCACAAGGAAGTGATATTATTATTATATTATTTCAATTATTTGATCACTGTTCTCTTCCTTTCTAATCGAAACACGAGTATTTGAAGAGACCGCAGCTAACAATCAGCCGCAATCATCTTCTGCTACTATCCAGCAAAAATTATGCTGATTTCAAAAGGACACATCACAATAGCGTTTTGAATCAACCACTGGAATGATGAATAGAACTTTGTGGTACTGAAGTGATTTGAGATGATAAGCGATTCGAAGACTCGTTAAACATCGTCAACAGATAAAGCTAGATAAGAAAAGGAGTAATCAATGGCATTAAGTTCACAAACGCATCGACCATAACGAAATGATACGTTTCAAACAAAACTGGTCATTACATTCAACAAATCCTCTATCAGATATGCAACAATTAATTAGATATGACACTATGATAATTTGGTGCAATATTCAGCGCTATACTTCCCATCATTTCTACAAATAACGTGTTCCCTATTATTCTTAATTGGGCAATCTCAATTTCAATAACGTTTTTGCACTTGAAACATATGCACTCTTCGTTCATTACAACTCAAGTCCGATCGAATGAAGAATGTTTCAATAAAGCTCATATCGGATTAATCACTGACTGTAGAGTATCGTTTTAAACAATTACCTATGATAAAATCAACACATTGGTTGATTTGGCGGTTGCAATTACTGAACATCTCCGACGAATGAACGGTAACTGTTCGAATAATGGAATGTTCAAGTGATTTATCAATGGTCAGGTGGATCTACTGAAAATGATTAAATGATAGAGAAGCTTATTGTTTTTTTTTGTTTGTAGAAACACGTTCAGAAAAAAATTGATTCTTGAATTTTTTTGCCGAAAAGAATCGAGATTTGGATTTCGAAGCATAAACGACATTAAAAACAACGCAACAATCGAATTCAATTTCTCAAACAACAATATACAATGCATAAGGGAACACAATACGACGGGCAAAACATGTACTGGAAGATCGAAGGGAAATTATTGATAAAGATTAAGAATTATTCAACTTTTGGAAAAAAAGTTCATTACTTCTGGCATTGAGCAGAAACTAAAGGAAATCATTGCAAATTACGGATATGCCATCATCGTACGCATTTTTAAAGGACTTTTGTTTGTTTGATTAATCAGAAAACGATAATTTGAACTATATTGTTGCCGAAGTCAAATGAATTATAACGATACATCCAAACTGTGAACTTTATTTTGTTGACTATTCACGGTTGACTGATTGTACTCCCATAGAATTGGTTGACTGTACAACGGTGAGCACAATTTGGAATAGATCTGAACTAGAGGAATGAAAAAAAAAACAGACGGACAGATTATTTCGAATTGGACATAGTGGATGACCGAATTTCAACTGTTATTATCACAAACAAAAGATACTCGTTAACAAAATCGATACTTCTTTCAGTGCGCATGCATACGGTCCATCAATAAATAATTCATGCACAATACACAATACAGCAAAGCTCTTCTCCAAAAGCAGCAGTAACAATTAACATCAATAAGATAACAATAAGAACAGTTCTGAGTGAAAATGTTCAGCATCAACAAACGCTCGACGACAGAATATTCGTTTACGACAGAATTTTGTCATTTTCAAGTTTATTTCACTTGCTCTTTTTTAATGGAAAACAATAACGATTCTATATGCAGAAGCGCAACTGTGGCAGTTTATCGTTTATTTTAACCCGTTCACCAAATGGATTGATTGATCGATTCTTTCAGAGTACAACGAAAACAATAGATCAGTGTTAGTAAGGTAATTGTTAAAAAAAGAACAAATTAATGATGACAATAATACTCATTCAATAAAACTGTCAAATGAGCACCCGAGATCGAAAACCGATGATATATTACGGCAATAATCAACACATAATAACACGTAATTCATAAGAAGATCGAAACAATTCATAATAAAGAGGCGCACGGAAGAGCGATGCAATCGATACAGGCGATCGGTTACAGTTTGGCAATTCTTTTATGGCAATCAACCAATGGAGATACATCTCAAAGCCATAACACTCCGCATCTAAACGTTTGCAGATGTTCAATTAGCGGATGGATACATATAAGAATGATATTGATCAGTCACGGTAGAAGTGGTGATTACTCATTTACCTTCTTCCATAAATGTGCATGACAAGTAGAATTTAAACGCATTTTGATAGCATACGGATAGACTAAAAATAATTGAGTAATACGACAACAGCAAAAGACGAACAACTTGGAAGAGTGAAGAACCAATTGAATATCCTATGTGATTACGATTGTCACACGTAATCTGCTCGTTGCCAGACTATGGTCTTCTCCACTTCAGATGGCGTTAAATCCTATATAAGTTAACATTTAATCAAAGTCTTTATACACTTCTAATTCGAGATAAACTTATTTGATTGTGTAAGAAAGAAATAATAGTTTCAACAACAACCAGACAAAAATAACTGATAATAATAGAATGAAGAAGTTACGAACAAATGTTGACCTTTTCACTTGGCACAGCCGAGGCATAAATAGGGGGTATTCGTGCAGTACTACCATTTACACCACTACTAGCACCGACCGATTCGGTACGAAATCGCATTTTAACGTTCGATGATGACGAATCAATGGAATTATCCTAGAGAGGATGCCATTTTAGAGGATCATTTATGCGCAGATTTAGATTGTATCTCATTCTTAATTCACTCATCGATCTAATCACTAAAATTAACAACTGAATTTCTAAATTTCCTTTACTTTACATATCTTCACAAGAACTTTCTTCCTTCATTGTCCTCGAAGCTACAGAATGTCAATTTACACATTTTAGTCACTGTCACTTCGTGAGCTCATTATTCATTATTTACACAATTCGTATTGGTTTCATTATAATCATTAGCATATGATGTCAAATATGTGACAAAAAATACAATATCCATGAAATTGAAAACGAAACAACAACTTAATTAGAAAACTATCAGCTGGAAAAAGATGTGAAAACGCATTAATGAAAACGAACCTTCCTGAGGAATTCAGGCAATTCATAGACTCTGCCACGACCATCCGATGGTGTTTGAACGGTTGAACAGGTTCCAGCACTCGGTTCTGCTGAGATTGCGCCAGTTCCTGATCGCTTCCAAGACTCTTTCGCATACTGCTGCTCATCAGTAAGATTATTTTCACCACAATATGGAATATCGCTGGCCGCTGCGGCGCTTGCCGTTCGTTGGAAAGTACCAACAGATTTTCGACTGAAAATTCTCTCTCAAGACAATAGGCAATTCAATCAAAATTAATGGAAATTTACACAAACCAATATATTCTTAGTAGTAAAATATAAAAGAAATCAAAACCATTACTTCATGAACACAGAGAAAGCCGATACTACTAAATAAGATCAAATAACTGTTAAGTCCAGTTAACGTGCTATTTATGAACGAATCTGAGCCCAACGATTTTACCGATGCATAAATGTAAAAATTTTGGTTCGTTTACTGCCGAACGGGGATTGCAAAGAGCGGTTGCGACGACTTACAACGATATATTTACGAAAGATTTTGTTAGATTAACGGAGAATCGAACCGTAATTTTTCGGCATAAGCGGAGGTCATCGACGACGAGTGCTGATTATGGTGATGAGCAGACGAAGACGATGATGCAACATTATCAGGCTGCTCACGGCTGGTCACCGCTTGACTTGCCTTACGAACAAACTTCAACAAACCTGATCCATGTTCTGTCTACAAACAAACAATTCGGTAACAATAAAGAGGTGATATGAGAACAGATAAAAGATGTAACCTTAGCGTTTGAAAACGAGCGAGCAGCACTCATTTTGCCAGTTCTTGGGTCAAGATCAGCAGGAAACTCAAAGAAAGCCACATCGCCGTGCTGATAGAATGGAACATTTGCGTCCGGCGAGAGAAAATGCGCCAAAACAGGAGCATCTTTCAACGTGTCACGTTTAGGTGAATGCTGTCGTTCTACAATTAGGTGATAAGCGAACCTCATCTGTCAATCAAATAAATTCTACATGATCCCCTAAACACTAAATTCTTAAGAGATAAACCCGACAGAAAGCTGAAACCAACAAGTTTTTTGCCTTTATTGAAATGGTTCAGTCGACAAAACCCACTGAAACATTGGTGTGAACTGAGCTGGAAAATTTACCACAATAAAAAGGTGATTATTCATCGAAATAGGTGAATTGCAGATTGAAGTGATATAATCATGATACAAAAAACAATACTGAAAAGTTGGGCTGAACAAAAATGGAAGGAGATGTGAAGGATGAAGAAGCACAAGTAAATTTGATTTGTTGACCGAAAAGCGAACCTTGAAACTGTTGTTGTGTCATCACAGTAACACACCTTGAGCCAATTGTTCCAACACTTATATGTGACGCAATCACTTCAAGCGTACCCGAAAGCACTACTATACAAGAATCATAATCGACCGAAAACTTGGCCAAAACACTTCGAAGAATAGCTCCCGACGAAAGACCGTGTCGTGCACGCAATAACACAATTCTAAAAATATCGTCACAAAATATCTTTAAGAACAATTCCAAAAAACATGAACTCAAATGAAAACCTGGAACTGGATGCAGCAGAACCCGTTTTGGTAGAAGCATTAGGAGCAAGAATTTCGATAGCGAAATGCAACACGGGCATCAGACAAACACAACGATTATTTAGCGCGTCCATAGCTTGTCGTGCAGGATCAATTGTGGATAACGACTGAAAGCAGAACTTCATTGAGTTCACTTTTATTGTTATTTGCAACAAACCATTTTCTCTTCTGAGAGACGTTATGCAAACACATCCGACAAATAAATTAGCGAAATTGATTCGTTTTAAGCATATAAACGTGGTGATAAGCAGGAGGGTATGCATTTGGTCTTCGTCTTACACCGATGAGCTACCTTTTTGTTTAACAGATACCTGATCCCAATAAAACAGATTCATGTATAACCACGGCCTCGGTAAGAGCCACGTCTCTCTCTTTAGAAGATTTGGTAGTACTATACTTAACGTTAGATTTGCAAACATTATATCAATCGTTGAATACTGCTTGCAAACTTATTCAGTGCACATCAACGAACAAGCATTGAAACTTACTTGAGCATCGACCGCTTCGGTAGCACGAGGATCCATTCCTCGCCTTGATGCCACTGAAGAAGTCCACTTTCCAACCGATTCAGTCTAAACAGAACGTAGTCAAATCGTTGGTAATCATGCGGTACTCGTAAGTGTTAACTTATATCAATGAATTACATATAATCAGAATGCCCATTCGAATATTCATTAAATAATGAAGTTTTCTGTTGACAGAATAGAAAATTACCACTTTTCATTTCGGTAAAGAAAATCAGAAAACATAATGTGCCGCAGGTCACGAAAAAACTGCTTAAGTCAAACTCTATTGAAATTCTCTCATGCACATCTTACGACCATGACAAAAGATTGATCAAAATGGTCGCTAACCGAGTGAAGGTCGTGAATCCCAATTAAAGCAACGTTATACTATTATATAATAATAACGTCTGACAAACCAACCGGATCGTTGAGTGGTATTTGTTCCGAAGTAGCGATTTCGTTGTGCATCAATGTACAGAATCTAGTGCATACCAGCTCGCTAGTTGTTTGCTTGGTACTGGTATTAGATGTTGAAAGGATTGCTGCTGCCACATTACTAGCAGCGGAACGTTGTTGGTTTGACAGTAACTGAAAGTTGAGACACCTTTTTGATTGCATCATCGAGAATGCGAATGATTTCATGAAGTGATGCTTCGATCAATAAGCAAAACAAAAAGCGCAGTTCAGATTCATTTCTGAAATCATCAGATTACGCCTGAGGTTATTGATCGGAATGCTTCGATATAAAGCTTTTTGGTATAAAGCCTTTTCGAACCCAAAAAAAAGGTTAGACAAACAGAAGCAAAACTGAATCAACTTGAAGAATTCCAGAAGGATTCATTCAAGTTGACTGATTAACGTTCAATGATATAATGAAAAAGTCAAGAAAGATGGTTACTCCTTAACACAACTAACGAAAAGAACATCAACAAAATAACCACTATAATTCTTTCTTTCAGAGTATGTTTTATATCAAAAAGACTGTTAGTATACGAAGATATTCAATCCGTTCGCGACAAACCTTTTAGACAAATTTATTTCGGAACTGATCGGAATTAGAAAATATCATAACGTAAATTTGATTATCATGTGGCTCAAAGACATACATGAATAACGAGCCAAATAAGTAACCAAAAATGGACCGTTTGCTTTGCGAAGCGAAGACGTTTACGAAATATTTCAAAATAAAGATTTTTATGCTTTAATCCAGACAATTTGAAGGAAAAAAATCCAACTCAATATTAAGTTATTGTGCTGATTTACCACACTTCAAGCAAATATGTTCCAATTTCTAAAGTCGGTATACCATTCCGCTATAATCTTGATGGGAATGAATGTCCGTCGAGTCTTCAATATTCTAATATGGGAACTTGATCGAAGGCGTTTATGGAAGTCTTCTAATGGTAATTTGTCAAGAAAACTCTACAACGACAGGCTGTAGTTTCTGAGCAAGAACTGATAACAAGAAAAAGTAAACGGAATGAAGTGCTTTACAGACTGAAAATTTCCGCAGATTTCTCCACTGAAAAGATTATGCTCTGAGATCCTAAAAAGAAGATATATGTTACTAAGAGTGAGTTTAACACGTTGGTACTGAAAAACATCGACATCACCAAACGAACAGAAAAGGAAATGATAAGATAAAACAAAAAAAGCTGAGGAATGAAACCAAACGAAAGAGATATGTGCACTGCTTGAAAAAGACAGAATAAGCATAATTTCAATTAAAACAATACAAATAGGAAAGTGACAGCACACCTCAGCGGTGGACATCAAGCATTGGTTGGTGGAGGCGATCACTGGTTGTTTGCGTTTTGATGATTTGTTCAACGAATTGCTAGTTGGACATTTTGACGTTTTGTGATTAATATTGTGCGACGATGAAGTATCGGCTCTTGCCGCATACCGATTCTCATCCCATACTGCTAATGAGCAAGAAGATGATGAGCAAGGTGCTGGCGATAAATCAGTGAACAGTTTTTTAGTGTTCAAACAGCGATCGTCACTGTTTTCTGCCGTATTCGGTGATGCATTCTCGTTTCTAAACAACATCGCTTCATTCGCTTGTTCTTCACTAGTTGAATCTACTCCAGTTGTCATCGTAGCATCAAATGAATGAGCTCCTCCGAATGAATCAGGACTATCACAAACGTAGGATCTAATTAATGATGAATTAATTCTTTTCCCTTCTTCTTGCTCTTGTGGACCTTTTCGTTTTTCTTCTTCTCTCTCTTCATGAGTCGCTTCCTCCTTTTTACGACGCGAAAAACGTGGTCTCAAACCATACCACAGCAAAGACTTGCGTCGCTTTTCACCCGATTGATGTTGATGGTGGGGATGTTTGGGCTGAAATGAAATGCATGTGTGTGTGCGCCATATTCAAATTCTCTGTTGCGTGATCAGTGAGTAACTAACGATTACAAATATTTATATTGTTACGCGATGAGTGGTGTGCACGGATTAGATGACACATTAAGCACCATCGAAACTTAAATGCATCACATGGTTTTCAAAATTGAGAAATATTTCGAATCAAAGGTTCACTTCCGAAACCGAAAACTTGCGCAAATTGTTCAAAGACCTCATAACAAAAATTGCTGAAACCTCCTTCAAACTGTAAATTTTCAATTCAAAACAAAAGGAATTTGTGAATGAAATTTGGGATATGCTCCACTGTAAAAAGAGATGAGCTTTAGCCCTAAAGTCAGCCACAGCATCAGTTCCATGGCAAACTACAACAGAAAGCCACGAGGAAGCCTAATCCCGAGCTTCAGTCTGAGATGGGAACAAGCGTCAATCTGCGCTCCGGGATGAAATTCAGACTTAACACCCTGGCAATTCTCAATCTAAGCATGGACAAANCAAATCCTGAATACTCCATCCTGAATACCGTGGTGAGCCTCAACGTGTGACTTGGAGGAAGCCTCAGACTGATTGCCATTACCAGTCTCAACTTAAGCCCAGAATGAACCCCAGCCTAAACACCATGGTAAGCATTGGCCTAAGTCTTGAACGAATCGCACCTTAAGACTGTTTGGTTATAGGCTTTCATCTAAGCCATCTGCTGAGACTTAGCCCTAACCCTTAAAAAAAATCAGACTGAGCGTGGAGCGATACCTCAGTCTAAGGTTGAGTGTGTTTTTTCAACAACAACATTCAGAAGTTCGCGGAACATTTATATCAAAAAACAGATCAGATACTTATTTTTCAATTTCGAATTTTGAATTGAAAAATTTTCCGGGTTCCGAATTTCGCTTACGAAAATGGGATTTTTATTCTCAAATTTGGAATCCTGGACGAAGTCGGAATTTCGATAGGGCTTAATGCATATAAGCGCATATACTTTGTGTACGAGAAGAATTGAAAAGTTCACCGAATCTTTTAAAGTTTTTTCAAAAGATTCATAAAATAGCATGCTACCTTAAAATGATGACTTTCCAATCCATTCAAATGATTTTTCTACGAGACTGATAGCATCTATTTCATTGAGAACCCTGTTCACAGTAATACTGCATAAAATTTGACAA